ATATTGTGGAGTCAAATCCAGTTTTGGACTTCACAAAAATCATTTTTCACTGTACTATATTCTCAAGGTACAATGTATCCATGTGCTATCTTTAATTATGATTTTGACTACTATTTTTTTTAATTTATAATTTCTATCTATACTTTTAAAGATATATAAATTTTACATTTTTATTTAAACCATTTAGAAAACACTATAACACTAACTTAATTAAATAATAAATAAAGTGATAAATAAATGAAATGATCATATTGATAAATTATCACTAAGTTTCTTTTTTAGAAGATTTTTTTTAGTTTGTGAAATTAGATTAGAATTCATAAGTATGTTAATGGGATAATGACTTAAAAGAGTAATATATTTTTCGATTTTTATACATTTTGTTACTGATTTTTTTTTCATCCACATTTGTCCCTTCAATTTGTTAACCTCTATACATTCAGTCCTTACGACCGGTTACTCTAGATTAGCCGGGAAAAATAACTTAATAAGGTAATATATTTCTCATTTTGTACACATTTAGTCCTTATTATATTTGTACACATTTAATTCTTAATATTTTTTTGTTTCAAAATAAGTCAGTTTTGTTTTTTTACCCATTCAGTACTTATTAATGATTTTTTTAGGTTTTTCTGACGATATCTTATGTGAGATAATTATTGATGAGGTGTTTGAGCCTATTAATGCTTATGTCCATCGCGATTTAGATTGTTTGGTTGTTTAGGTCTTGTGTTTTGAACGTCGTAAGTAAAAATATATTACTTTTTAACGGCAGTAATCTAAATGAAAGTTGTAGCAATCTAAAATAAGAATGCACGGATATAATGATCGTTAAAATCTGAGATCGTATAAACAAGTTATGACATTCATAACGCATACCTAAGCAACCAAGTAGTCAAGATCACAATGGATATAATCATCAAAAGCCCCAAACACCTCATTAGTGATTGTCCCATTTAAGATATCGTGAAAAAACCTTAAGAAATCATTCATAGTACTAAATGAGTATAAAAACAAAAATGACTTATTTTGCAAAAAATATATATTAATGATTAAATGTGTACAAAAATATTAAGGATTAAATTTGTACAAAGTGAAAAATATATTACATTTTTAAGACATTTTTACCGGCTAACCTGGAGTAACCGGTCATAAGGAATGAGTGTGTACAGTTTAACAAGTTGAATGGGTAAATGTGGACGAAAAAAAAACTCAGGGACCAAATATATACAAATCGAAAAATATATTACCCTTTTAGGTCATTATCCCTATGTTAATTATCTATAAATAATTATATGTATATTCATTCACTAATACAACGGCTTTATCATTCATTTATTGAAAATATGTATATATTTTCTCGTTATTAAAAGATTCAAGAATATTTATATATATGAAATTACTTGTCACTAATTGTGTAAATTTATACACATTTTTGGAAAGATATAAGAATATTCAAGAATATTTCTCTTGATGATTTTTTTCGCAGGAAGTTAGGGATGATAAGCATATACATTTTTGGAAAGATAAATGATGCGGTGATGTGATTCTTAAAAATGAATTCCTGGAAGTATACAAAATTGAAAGAGACAAGATATGCAAAGTTCAGGATACGATTATTAGTGCAAATGGGGTTCTTTTTCATGGCTTGTGTAGACGGAATCTGAGAAGAGGAAAACAAGTTGTAACACTCATAAAAATCATGCCAAATTTAAACTTTTTAAAACATTTAAAAAGCCAACAGTCATTACAAATTTGTTTTCAAAATAGTCTATATCAGAGTCTCCCAGAAACAAAGTCATAAACAGTGAGGAGCAGTACGATCACACATTTGCCTTGTGGTGGCCCCCTGATGTACCTGAAACAATAAACAGAAACTGTAAGCCTGAGAACTTAGTGAGTTCCCCCAAAATACCCATACACACAATAATACACATATAATCATAAACAACATACTATGGGTCTAGTCAACCATCAGGTTGGAATACCCTAGGCCCTCAACCATCCGGTTGGAATGCCAGCATACTCTGGGTTCAATCATCCTCGGGATGGAATACCTCGGGCCCACAACCAACAGGTTGGAATACCTACACACTATGAGTCCAATCATCCTCGGGATGGACCCACAACCAAAAAGTTGGAATGCCCAGGTCTATTGGCTTTCACACAAAGCAAATAAGCCTCACCGCCAAACAACATGTGCACATATAAAAAATAATCATATAACAGTCTATAGATAGACAAACCGATCTAACAGATCATAATAGCATAGCGTATCCTATCTACCAGGATACTGATCTAACGGATCATATCAACATATAACATTCTATCTACCAGGATACTGATCTAACGGATCATAACAACATATAACATCCCATCTACCAGGATACTGATCTAATAGATCATACAATACTCGAGCATACACCATATCAAGATAGCAATCCAAAAGGGCCGGCCTTGGTGCCTTAGACCCTTAAGTATAGTGAGGATAACTCACCTCGCAAGTAGGGTCAAAGTACTGAAAATCTCTGATTGTTATCTCATAGGAAATCCCAAACTATAACACAATAGATACTAAGTCAAATCAAAATAATAATCTTTGACTACAGTCCACACAATCCATCATGTCTTGTTTCTCTATTGGGCCAAAGACCAATGCCAAATCCAAAATCTTGAAAGTCCTTATGCAAAGCCCATTATTGGCCCAATTTACCAAATTGGGCCCAACTCTCTTATTGGGCCTAATCCTAAGATCCATTATCAAAATTTGGCCCAAAACATCTTATCCATAAAGTCCACCAAAGGTCCAAACCCAATTAGCCCATAAACAGCCCAAATTTTTCAACCTCAGATTCAAGAATTTTGTTATTTTTTAATAATATTCTAATAGAATAAATTTTTGAAAGAGCATCATTCTTGCAAAAAAAAAATATTATGATAGAATAAAATCGGTTATGTTAACAAATTAAGTTAGAATTAAAATCGAATTAATAAAAAAATTCAAAATTTAAAAATTAAAAGAGTTAATTATCCCTAAAAATCCGAAAATGTCCTTTTATAAATGTAGTTAATTGTCCAGAATACTGTTTTGCTAAATTTTTTGTGATTATATGGTACATGTTATCCCATTTGTAATATCATACGGCCCGTGCTCAGCATGGTCAACAACTTCTTCTTTTCTGGTCAACACAACCCATGTTTCTTCCGTAGTGTGAATCCAACATGGCCCATGAACCCCTCTGACTCCAATTCCATACTTGATTTTTTTCAACTTTTCCGTTCTTCGCCCGATCATCCCGAAATCCTCACCAATGCTTCCTGGCACCTCCCAAAGCGCGTTCCAACCTCTGGTTTACCTTAACAAGACATGAAAGTGTGCAAATAAGTTTGTTCTAGAGACTAACATGAAATATGATGAAATGCAAGACAAATGAAGAACAATTATGCTAAATAGATGCATAAGAGGGGACTAAAATATGTGCAAAAAGGTGCACAAAATGCACATAACAAATCTCCCTGAGCTTAGACCTTTCTTATCCTCAAGAAAGAACAAGAATCAGATGAAACGGGATGATTTCTAGATGGCAAAAAGAAACATAAAGCAAAAAAGGGACAGGATGATCCTAAAGGCTAGGAATGAATGCATGCAATGAAAACCATGAAAAAGAAAAAAAATATACATATGTACAAAAGCACTAAAGAAACAGAATGTACAAAAAAGAAATTTAAAACACAAGTAAGTCATATATATAAGTATGATCAGGCTTTACATCAATGTGGATCCAATCGTTAATACCTAGGCAACCATCATGCTTCCTTCCACAGACCGGAAACGGTGTAACCCAATAATCCAACCCTAGTTTTATTTAAACTTCATACCTTAATCACCTTTATGGGAGAAAATAACAGAGTCCGGATCTCATGTCCTTAAGACTAGATGGCCAAGAATCAGAATCGACGCATCCTTAAGAACCCGTCACAGCGAATCAGCTTTCGCTGAAACATCGAGCCCACCCGAAGGGGCCCAGCTCCTATGCTTTCACTTTTTTGAGAGACACAAGTATCATATCACACAGTTCTTCATTCTCCAGATTTCACTTTGAGGTGGCTTTTGATTTTTGATTGAACTTGGATTTGCATCTTCCTTTTGAGCTTGAATTCTTCAATCAACTTTTGAATTTCTGATAATTTCTTCGTTTGGCACTTGAAATTCTGGTTTTAAATACTGGATATGATATTTGTACCCTTTCTTCTTTCTTGACTGTGTGGATCTGATATTTAAGCTCTCTGTTACCGCGATGGTAACACGTGTTAACAAATAGGTTTGTGTTTTGTGGGTCCAGAGTTGTCGATAAAAATTCTTTTTAAACATTCAGAAGCAAATCATCCTAAAGTTGTTATTACCGCACACAAAATGTTTGAGTATGCCATTTTTTTAATATCTAAGTTAAGGTCTCGAGTTACGTTGTTTGGGTCCCCTAGTTATGATAGATGATCCTACACTTCTGGTAACTATCCGGTCGCCTCAATATTTATCATTTGAGTTCTCGATTTCCCACTTCATGGAGCTATTGTATGTAAAGAATGTCATCATCTCATACCTTTTTTTTAATGATGATGATGATGATGCATGAAAATGATGGAATGCAAAAACTTGAAATAAAAATATATATATAAATATATATTTTTTTTAAAATACATGCATGAATATGAAATATGAAAATGCACCTAATTTACAACTCTATCCCTCCCCAAGCTTAAAGATAAGCACCATTCTCGATGGTTGGAGAGGGCGGAATAACCTATTGCGGAGGATGAGGAGGGGGAGGGTAATACTCGGAGTTTCGAGTCCAAGCCTAAAAGTCCTCTTCATGTTTACGCTGGCGCTCTTGATCCAGAGCGTATTGAGTGGTGAAAGAAGAGAAAATTTGAGTCAGGCTCACGAGATCTTGATTGTAAGTGTCGAGGCGGGTATGGATCGATTGGAATTGATCCATATATTATTGGTGATATGATGGGTGTCCAACATGATGGGATGAGTTGGCACCACCCATTGGAGGAGAATTTTGTGGTGCCGCCCCGCCACTCTCATCACTTTCTCCATCTTCCTCTTCGAAGAAGGAGTCGGGGAAGAGATATGGCGTGATTTTCCAATCGGTGAAGTAGTTAGGACGCCTGAGGGAAAGGATGTCCCAGTTCTCAGGGGTGATGATGAGCCTTGGATCGTGGTTTTGACCCATGGTCCAATTATGGTTCCCATCCTCTGCCCGAAGCATTCTCATAGACTTAAGAACTCCCGTGGTAAGGTAGGTCTCACCAGGAAAAGGTTGGTGAATTTTGGGATATGGGGCCCTGACTGAAGCTCTGTTGGCAAATAAACTGACAATGCCACCACTAGATATTTTGTCGGACCAGGATGTGCTGAGGCGGGTGAATTTGTTACAAAGGAATGAGCCATAGTGAGGAATGAAATTATTGTTCGGTTGGGTCATAGCATAGAGTATTTTGAGCTCAAGAGCGCTAATGGTGCTTCGCTCTTCTCTAGGGGCGATGAGCGAATCAAGAATTTGATGGGCCACTTTCATCATAGGATGGATGATAGATGAGGCCTTATCAGAACTTGAGACATACGGGTGTAGATGAGTAAGGTCGGTCCCCCACGTAAGATCACTATATCCTGGAATCGATTCTTTGGGGCCAAAAGTGTTTTCTGTTGGGGCCCCAACAACGACATTGATTTGGTCTAAGGATAGGGCATGATATTGGTTTATTAGTCGGAAATTTAGGACACCATGGTCCAAATAGACTGAAGACAAGAGCTCGACTGTTGGAACTTTATAGCTGAGCTCGTGGACCTTTAACAACCCCTGCCATGTAATGTTCCGGAACAAGGCGTGGACTTGGTTATAGATGTGCAACTCACGGAAAGATGTCACATGCGCAAATTGTTGTCTAGTATGCGCGCGCTGGAGAAAGGCCTCAAGTTTGGCAACTTGAATAGGGCTAAGATAAACCACACCACCATGTGCCGAATTTGGTGGAGATTGAGGTGGGGTGATGGGGACCTAGGCGGCGGTGATGGGTTTCTACGACGACGGGTCAACGCCTTAGTATTCCTCGTTCATTTAGAACATTCACCTTCCATATGCAAAATGTGGGGCAAATATGTAAAGTTAACAGGTCGACGGGATAAAAAGTCAATTGTTGATAGGTCCCCTCAACTGAAGTTTGGACACCAAAAATTCGTGGTAATTCAGTTTTGAATGATTTCCAATTTATTGTCAAGTCCAAAATGACCACAGATACATGTAATTTGACCTTAAGAACACAAATTCCACAAGTGAAGAATAAGAAAGATTGTACCGAATCATTAGTGGAAATGTGTTGTTGTTGGTGAGAAAGACATTCTTCAACCTCCCGAAGCTTGCCTACATGAAGAATTAAGCACAAAAACACCAAAACTCTAAGAAATTTTCGGACCTAGGGTTTATCAAAACCCTCAAATCCACCATGAAAGTGCAAGAATATGGTGTATTAGTTGTAGGTGATGAAGTGTAGAAGATGAAGATCAAACCTCTTTGAAGATTAAAGCCAAAATCATGGAGGAATCAAGGATTTTTGAAGAAAATCATACCTTAGGGTTTTCTTGGGAGAGAGGGGCTGTTTTGAAATGAGTTTATGGAAGAATGAGGCAAAAACCCGATTTTTAGACATTAAACATGTTTGTTTTGCAGCGCGAACACGACCCGTGTTATTTCAATATAAAATGACACGGCCCGTGTTGGGTTTAAAACTAATGAGATTGGTTGAACACGGATCGTGTTGGGCATAAAGGAAAAATGACACGGGCCGTGTACCCCTCTGACTGCCGAAGTGTTTGCCTTGCTTGAACACGACCCGTGTTCATTATAAGGCAAAAATGAATACGGGCCGTGTAGGGCTCTATTTTCCACTTCCCACTTTTTGAACCCAAAAATCTCCTCTCATTCAAACAAAATGGTTTTGCATCCCAAGGTCTGTTTGACAATTTGAAAACATGTTTAAATGCATTTGGAGAATTAAAAACCAAAAACTTCAAACAAATGGAAATGTTTTTAAACAAAAAGACAAAAATACACCAGGTTGCCTCCCGGTTATCCGCCCTTGTTTTTAGTCATTGGCTTGATGTGGCCCCCGAATATGTGTCAGTGTTGATAGGTGAGGTTTCCTACAACTTCTATCTCATCATTCTTCACCTCGAATCCTTCATAAAATGGCTTCAATCTATGACCATTGACTTTGAATGTTTTTCCAGTTTGGTAACTTGTGATTTCCAACGCACCGTGGTTGAATACCTTTGTGACCACGAAAGTACCAACCCATCTTGATCTTAATTTCCCTGAAATAAACTTGAACCTCGAGTGATAAAGAAGCACTTTTTGTCCTTGTTCAAAAGTCTTTCGAGAGATCATTTTGTCATGATATGCCTTTGTCTTCTCTTTGTAAATCATGTCGCTTTCATACACATCATTTTGGTTCTCCTCTAACTCTTGGATGTCTAGCTTCCTTTTGTTTCCTGCCTCAGCTTCATTCAAGTTGAATTTCTTTATGGCCCAAAAGTCTTTGTGTTCGAGCTCAACCAGGAGGTGACATGCTTTTCCAAACGCTAGCCTATATGGGGATATACCAATGGGAGTTTTGAAAGAGGTACGGTATGCCCATAAGGCATCATCCAACCTTATGCTCCAGTTTGTGTGGTTTGGATTGACTATTTTCTCCAAAATGCTTTTCATTTTCCTGTCTGAGACCTCTGCTTGCCCATTGGTTTAGGGGTGATAGGATGTTGAGACTTTATGAGTCACCCCATACTTTTTCAAAATGACTTCAAGCATCCGATTGCAAAAGTGAGCCCCACGGTCACTTATGAGAGCCTTTGGAGTGCCAAACCCGGAAAAAATATGTGCCTTGAGAAAATCCACCACAACTTTTGGAATCATTAGTAAGGGTCCCATTTGAACACATAGTCCACAACTAACAAGATATACGAGCAACCAAAAAAGGGCGGAAATGGTCCCATAAAGTCAATACCCCATACATCAAACAACTCACATACTAAAATTGGGGTAAGGGGCATTTGATTCCTAGAGCTTGAGGACCCATAATTTTGGCACTTATCACAATGTGCACATAACACATAAGAATCGTGAAAAATGGTAGGCCAAAAGAATCCGCTATCTAAGACTTTTCTAGTTGTCCTTTGGAGTCCAAGGTGACCTCCACAAGCATAGGAATGACAAAAGTTAAGGATGGATTGTACCTCTTTTTTCTCGACACACCTTCGGATCATTTGATCTGCACAATACTTCCAAAGGTAAGGCTCATCCCATACGTATCGCTTGACTTCCTTCTTGATTTTACCCTTTTGTCAACGTGTGGAATCCGGGGGAATTTGATTCTTGATCAAGTAGTTGGCGATATATGCATACCATGGTGCTTCTTTGGCTACGAATAAATGCTCATATGGGAATGTGTCACGGATTGGTGTAGTGTCTTCGGGTGGCACAATACGGCTGAGATGATCTGCGACCAAGTTTTCTTTCCCACTTTTATCTTTGATTTATGTATCCAACTCTTGCAGCAGCAACATTCACCGTATTAACCTTGTCTTTGACTCTTTCTTGAGTAGTAAGTGCTTCAAGGTTGCATGGTCAGAATAGATAATCACTTTGGTCCCAAGGAGGAACAGTCGAAACTTCTCTAATGCGAAGACAATGGCTAGCAACTCCTTTTCAGTTGTCATGTAATTGGCTTGTGCATTATCCAAGGTCTTAGAAGCATATTAAATGACATGATGACCTCGGTCCACCTTTTGCCCCAAAAACACCCCAATCGCGGTATTGCTAGCATCGATCATGATTTCAAAACGAAGATCCCAATTTGGCGGTTGAATGATGGAGCGGATGTTAATAAATCCTTCAAATGATCAAATGCACTTTTGCATGCATCACCAAAATCCAAATCGACTTCCTTTTGTAAAAGTTGATACATCGGTACCATGATTTTGGAAAAATCCTTGATAAACCACCGATAGAAACCTGCATGACCAAGAAAAGAGCGCACTTCCCGAACATTTGTTTGGTACGGTAAGCTCTTAATACCATCAATTTTGGCATTGTCAACTTCTAAACCTTTTTGTGACACAACATGTCCAAGTATCAATCCCTTGTCAACCATAAAGTGACATTTTTCGTAATTAAGGACTACGTTCGTGTCAATACACCTTTGTAAGATTTTGGTGAGATTTTGCAAACATTCATCAAAAGAATTTCCATAAACAGTAAAATTGTCCATGAAAACCTCTATGATATTTTCGATGTATTCTGAAAATATACTCACCATACATCTTTAGAAAGTCGTGTGTGCATTGCATAGGCCGAAGGGTATGCATCTATACGCGAAGGTGCCAAAAGGACATGTGAATGTGGTTTTCTCTTGGTCTTCCGGGGGAACCGGAATTTGGTGGAAACCAGAAAAACCATCAAGGCAACAATAGTGAGATTTCCCGACCAATCTTTCTAACATTTGATCGATGAATGGAAAATGGAAGTAGTCTTTGCAGGTGGAAGCATTCAACTTCCTATAATCGATACAAACCCTCCACCCGTTTTGCACACGAGTAGGTACGAAATGCCTTCGGAGTTTTTGACAACGGTTACTACTGATTTTTTCGAGACAACTTGCACGTGACTCACCCAGTTACTATCAGAGATGGAATAGATTACATCTACATTCAAGAGCTTCATGATCTCCTTTTTCACTACCTCCATCATAGGTGGATTCAATCTCCTCTGGGCTTTGCGGGTCAGCTTAAAGTCATCTTCCATCAATATTCTATGCATGCATAATGATGGACTCAACCCCTTTATGTCCGCAATGGTCCAACCAATAACCTCCTTGTACTTTTTCAAAATTCCAACCAACTCTTTTTCTTCTTCTTTTGCTAGATTGGTTGAAATTATCACTGGTAATGTCTCTTCCTCTCCAATATAGACATACTTGAGATGATCGGGAAGAGTCTTCAAGTCAAGACTCGGTGGTTGTACTATGGATGGAAGGAGTTTTAGATCAGAATTTTTTAGCTTCATGCAGGGTGGTTCAACTCTCATAGGTTGTGCTTTTTCCAAGAAGTTGATTGCTTCAATCAACTCATCCTCCAAATTGTACTTATCGACCAGATTCTGGATCCCTGTCTCATCAACATGCTTGCTCAAGATGGTGGTTAGCACATCTTGGCTTGACAACTCAAAACAATCATTATTACATGAATCAATAACATCTATGAAGTTCAAAGAATGAATATCACTAGGATAACGTATAGCTTCAACGATATTAAAGTTTATCACCTCATCATCGAACTCCATAGACAATGTACCATTTGCTACGTCTATTTTTGTTTTTGCGGTACTCATGAAGGGTCTCTCCAAAAGTATGGAGCTCAATTGTGGGGTGTTGTCATCACTCATATCCAAAACATAAAAATCAGCATGAAATACAAGTTCATTAACTTGCACTAACACGTCCTCCAATACACCTTTTGGGTGTACCAAAGACCGGTCGGCAAGTTGAATGATAACTTCGGTTTTTTATAAACGTCCAATTCCCATTGTTTTATAACTTGAATAGGGTAAGACATTTATTGATGCTCCAAGATCTGGCATGGCACGTGACACAAAAAGGTTACCCATTTTACAAGGAACCGTGAATACACCCGAATCCTTGCATTTTTTTGCTAGCCATTTTTGTAACACTGCTGAAACATTTTCCCTAACTTTCATAGTTTGATTTCCTTTAAGCTTTTTCTTAGATGTGAAAAGTTCCTTAAGAAATTTAACATA